AATTGACCAGGGAACCGGTATGGTCGTATGGGTTACTATGGAAATGACTTCTGAATCTGCATGTAAGATGTAAAATTGACCAGGGAACCGGTATGGTCGTATGGGTTACTATGGAAATTACTTCTGAATCTGCATGTAAGATGTAAAATTGAACAGGGAGCAGTGCTGTGTTACTATGGAAATGACATCTGAATCTGCATGTAAGATGTAAAATTGACCAGGGAACCGGTATGGTCGTATAGACACTATGGAAATGACTTCTGAATTTGTATGTCAGCAGCTACGTTGCTTCAGTTTCTGTGACTGGTGTTCTTTATATGGAGCGAGGTTATTAGCCTAACCTCGGGTAGTGTGCTGCTTTGTGTTGATTTATGATTTCACGCAGGGAGGCTGGAGCGCATGGTTCGCGGCTGACAGGAGCGGGTTGGGGTGGCTGCACGGTGTCCCTCGTACCGGCTGCCTCACTGCAGAACTTCCTGCAAGAGGTTAGTATTTAGCACGTCAATTGTAGAATTGTTAGTGTATCTGCCCAAAATTCCAGTTGGCGACATCATTTTCTATACGCGCACGCACACACTCGTGCGCACATTTATATATTACATTGGGTTACACACAGAGGTATATCAAATTTTTTTTTTAAATAATTTTTTTATCATACATGTGTAGCCTATTTTCAGAATAAAATGGATTGGTGATTTGCATTATGGTACATTGCAGGTGCGTAAGCGATATTACATGGATGGAGTGCTTGAACTCACAGAGGAAGAGTGCACACGCGCTCTCTTCCCAACTGCTCCGGGAGTAGGTGCACAGCTGTACGTGCACTGAGATATGTATCCTTCTCTTCTCCCCTTTACTGTTACTTCCTGTATAACTTCCCCTTCTCCCTCAATTCCTCTCTCGCGCTCTCTCTTACAGACGTTGTCTCATATACCTTGTCTCTTCCCTTTCTCCTTTTGTCTATCTCACTCTCGCTTACGAAGAACGTGGAATGGGATACGTAATAAAAATGATATTTCTTGGTCCTCAAAATGTATCAAGAGTATATATGGGTAATCTCTCAGTTTATGAATAATAGTACAAAGTATTATAAGAAAAAAGAGATGTAATTGAGAAATAATATATTTTATTTTATTGTCAACAACATGATAATGATATTGACTAATATATGATGATTGTATACTAATTATGATATTTGATATAAGGGGTGATAGATATTTTCAGCTGAACTGTGTATATTCCAGTGAAGATAAGCAACAATGTGTGTACTTGCCTATAAGCATCAACAGGCAGTCAGTAGTGAATTTTCACAATGTACCGCTCATATGGAATAACATGGAATGCAACGAAAACTGAACGTATGCTAAACGACCAACTTTCAACTGCATGTATTCGTGGCATCGTAATATCGTGTGGTATGGTGATATCGGGTTGCAATTTGTGATGTCTTGGGTAGGTGTGTGTATGTGTGTGTATGTGTGTGTGTGTGTATGCATAGGTGGACTTATGAGGTTGAAATATGCGGTAGGTGTGTGTATGTGTATGTATGTGTGTGTGTGTGTATGCATAGGTGGACTTATGAGGTTGAAATATGCTAAGCAATATAGAAACGCTGCATTGGCCAGCAGACCATTATACTCTGGATTCCGCAATATTTTCACATAATAAAAGGAAAGGTGAGTAACTTCGATTTTGTTTGTGCTCTTTGAACTGATCTGGCTGTTTAAGTTTGATGTCTTTTGCACTTCCATCGTGGTTTGCTTCTTGATCCTTTTCGATAGCATTGTTATTCGCCATTTCATCTTGATCAGTACCGTGGGCTGTGCAATGGGGTGCTACATTGGCTTTCCCATGGCACGTGCCACGAGCTTCAGCCTCCGGAATGAGTCGTGGGTTTAACAGATGTTTGAAAGGTATCCACACCTGCGGAAAATAATTACTTATATTTGCATCACAATGACTTAAAGTTAGTATTTCCTGTTAAAAGTTAGTATTCACATTTTCCTGTCACATGGGCACCTTCTAAGCTGCCATTTAGACAATTTTTTTTACAAAATAAGGTAAACTTAATTAACTTGTCTGACTGTAAATGAGAGCATGCATCATGCACTATGACTCAAAAGCAACCCCTGTAACATGACTTCTAACAGATATATGCTAGTAAAACCATAAAGCTACCATGCTAGTAAATTTGTACCATTCTCCTCTGTAGTTCTTCATAAAATCTCATAATTGCAAAAAATACTCGTATAATAAAAAATAGATAAACTCATCGAATGAATTTGTCTCCACATCAAAACAAGGTAGAAAGCCCGTTTGGATTACCGCTTAAAAGCGTTCTGATATGAAAACAGTGAGTGAATTCATTCACTCGCATGCATACAGCACCACTATACTCACACTACCATCTCCAGTGCCCTCTAGTGGGTCCTCAAGCACTCCCCTGACTGGTTTTAGCTGGATTCTCTGCATGCCATGATCAACGTTGACCACGAGAGCTTCCTTGTAGCTTGACACCTCTGGAGTCATGGACTCTCCTACCTCCAGCATCTGAAATCACGATGCACGTACATGTTCTACTACTTGGGGCAGATGATGGAGGCAAACGAGCAACTTAAACTGAATAACTGTCAATGTTATCCGTTTTATTAAAATTCTAAAACCAGCACTATTTCAAACTCGATACTCTCTCTAATATCTGAAATACGTGAATTCAATTAAAGAGGGATGTGTACACATCGGGTAATCTCTGTGATAATTAACGACTCATGAGCAATGGAAGATTAGCTAAATGCAGTTCATGATTCAGCTACATGCTGCCTAGAATGCTAGTGGCCAGCCAACTATTCTTCTTCTTACTCACAACAGATAAGCACATGAGATAACTTTCACTCACTTTGAAAGCAATAAAGTCGCCTACTCTCGGAAAAGACAACAACGGAGTCAGCGCTTCATAATCTCTATCTACAAAAGTCTCCGGCTGCAAAGGGAAAAGTCACGTGTGAGATAACTCTCTTCCTCAGTACAGAACCATGGCAATTATATGTGCAAAACTAGACAAGAGGGCACTCACGGAGAGTGCATACCTCCGCGAGCATGTAACATGTATGTGCTCGCTGGTGGTGGCTGCTGACTAACTCGCCTGCTGCTGCCTCGCCGCTCACTGGTGGCTGCTGCTGACTCGCCACTCGCTGTCTCGACGCGCTATCGATCGCGCCACCCGCTCGCTGACTCGACGCGCTATCGATCGCGCGGTGGCTACGCACGCACGCACGCACGCACGCACGCACGCACGCACGCACGCACGCGAGCGATTGCATGACCTCCGTTTGCGCGGAGGTAATAACTCAAAGTGTGGTGACACTAGGAATTCAGCAGTTTTGTTTTTGTTTGTGTCCAGAATCAAAAGGATGTAATGCGTAATCTCAAAAAATGACAAATATGGATGTGCAAAGAATATCTTCAATCTAAAGAATGACAACTTCACTCAACAGAGAACTGACCCCACAACTGTCGCACGCCTACCCATCGCTGTACTTTGCGAAATAGGTTTATTTACCTGCTGACAAGATGTTGTGTCATGACCTTGCAATGTTTTAGGCGTTGCCACGGGAGATGTCATCTGTGGAGGAGGAGGAGGCTGCATAACCCCAACAGTCGTTGCTTCAAATCCGCCGTCCCCGCCTCCTTTTTCATCGTCATCGTTTTCATCATCGAAAACAATCCTCTTGTTTCTTCCAAAGTTGTTCGCTATCTCGAAGGCAGGAATGTAGCTACTATTTCTGTTGAAACACTGCTCGCGATTTGCCGCCGAAAAGTTGCGCTGCGAATCGGCTGTGCTCTTCCCCTTTCTCCTCCGTCGGACACGTTTTCTCACTGATCGGGAGAGATTAGCTGTATCACTGTCGTTCGGTGCATGCATGTTGGATTTTTCGCTCTGGTTAATATCGATGTTTTCTGTGCTTCCGTCTTCGTTCATGTCACGTCGGGCCTTCGCGAAACTGCCCTCAGAAGACAACCCGGTGCATGAATCTGCTTGCGCAGTCGAGTTCACTTGTGTGTCGGCCGTCTTTTTAGTAGGTCCTTTGTTTTTCTCCTTTTTCTTCGTTTCAGCTCTGCCATTTACAGAAGGTGTGTCTGCAGGTAACATATGTGTCCTGTCAGAGTTCGTACCCTTTTTGGCTGTGATTTTAGACGGCACGATCATTGTCTTTTCAGTATGCAGATCTGTGGAGTTTACAAAGGGTGCATCTGCAGGCACAGATAACTTCTGTTTTCGTTCAACCTTTTTACGCTTTTTGCTCTTTTTCGACGAAGTACGATGTTTTCCATTGGCAGTGTCTATGTCCATAGTACTGGCAATAGATCTGCCTGACTGTGCATCCAGTTTCTTTGCTCTGTCATCTGTTTTAGATCTTCTGCGCTTCTTTGCTTGTGGCTGTATGCTCTCGGCTTTACTAGACATCTTGCCAATGCTAGTTAAGTCCTTGGGGGTTCTCCATTTACTCTCACCTTCTCTCATCTCTGTGGCCTCTGCTCGTCTCTTACCGCTGCAAGTTGTGTGCCCAGTGGATCCACTTTCGGAGTCCCTTCTGAAGTGATGCGATTTTCTGACTCTGGCAACTGAACCTTCGGATAGTTGTCCATCCTCGTCACATGTCTTATCAACAATCCCAGACACAACTCGTGTCCCAAAGTGAATGCTGAAAACAAACCCCGAGGAACATAATTAAGACACCCGTTGCTACCTTGAAGAAGGCAGACATGCTAAATCAATCGCATGAAAGACCTAACAATGTAAAATCAAGAACTTACGCTCCACAAGTTACTGATAAAACTATTCTCACATGTGTATGGAAACTTCATTGCAGCTTTACTTGACTGTAATGCAAGTTAGTTAGGTTGAGTGTGTGTGAGGAATGACATACCTTACTTCATCACCATCATGCAGTATCTGCACTGACTCGTCAGTAGGTAACCAACCTCCATCCAGGCAAAGCCTTGCCCTGTGTTACAAGCAGGTGCAATATTAGCTCTAGAACTATAGCCCTTCGCTCTGCCACAAGACCTCCTGTGCTGGAGCGAAGACCTATAGCTCTAGAGCTAATATTGCACCTGCTTGTAACACAGGTGCGAAGATAAATATTAGACCACTGATCATATATTATCACTATACAATATATACCGTATATGATCGCGTAATAACCGCGGGCACCTAGTATATTTCCCCTCACGGTATGGCGCACTTATAAACCGCAGAGCAAATACAGGGTTGAAATCTGAGGCCAAATTTGTGGTTATTACGCGAGTATATACGGTACTAGCTAAACAATTAGCTCTATCTATATAGCCTTTCCCTCTGCCACAACCCAGGCTGGTAGCGGAGCGAATGCCTATTATATATTTTAATGTAAACTGCTCGATACACTCATAGCCATACACACTCTATAAAGTATATTAATAGTACGCAGTGGCTACGCATCTGGAACCGGTCGCTAGCCCTCCAGGGACATCTCACTCACACAGTGATTGCGCGACTCGCGTACACGCATGATTGCGCACCGGGACGCTGCTGCTTGATTGCCGGAAAATATACAATATATGCACTGCTGCCATCTATCCTTCATACCGTCTCGTCCTCGCTCTCCTCTCTCCTCTCTTTCACAACACACACGCTCTACCTCTCTCACACATCACAAGCACGCACAGCATGCACGCACACGCACGCACGCAGCGCACAGACGCACGCACGCACAGCACACACACACACACACACACACACACACTAGCTCTCTCTCTCTCTCTCTCTGCACGCATACACACACATACACATTCCCTCTCTCTCTCTCATCTCTCTCTCCGCACACACACACACACACACTCGCAATCAGCAGAGCGTCCCGTTGCAGTCAATCATGTGTGTAGGTGTCACAAGCTCAACTGTGTGAGATGGATGTCCGGACACGCGTAGCCTAGCGGCTCCTCGTCCGGAACGGTCGCGTAGCCACGGCTTAATAGTAATAGTAATACTATCCATCTATCTATATGGTTACGTCGATCTGTCACTCTTGACAATTAATCAACAGGGTTTAAATAGTTGCTGATAGGCAGGCCCGTAGCCAGGGGGGGGGGTTGGGGGGGGTTCGCATCACCCCTGCCCGCCCCCGAGCCAGACATAAAAAATATCCGTGAGAAATTTCAGCTCCCAGGTATGCGACCAGATCGCTCCATTTTATGTGAATAATTGCAGAAATCCATTGTGCGGGAGGAGGCCCTCCCAAGCGACCCATCCCCGTCGCTCAGTGCTATGCTCCATCCTCGATCGCTTCGTGCCCATCACAAATAGCCAACATTTAAAACGTAACCCCCCGCCCCCAAATAAAGCTGGTCTACGGCCTGTCAGATAGGGTGCTCTAGTCCCTCAGGGTACTGATCGAGCGGTCTAACCCTGGGTAACGGTTTCGATCATATCGCAAAGTACCCTCGGGGTAAACTATACGATGTCGGCTGCGCTAGTACCTGCACTTGAACCACCATACCTGACTTTCAGCCTAACTGACTGTCGTAATAGCATACACATCTGTCAAGTTACCACATCACATAGAAAAATCTCAAAAACATCGCAATCAATAAAAATGTATTTAATGTTTGACTATATTTTTGCTTTTCCTTTTCATATATTCAAATCTTTCATTTTCATATATTCATGATCTGAGAGAAATGCTTCCAAATTGTACACCACGCCGGCAATGGCACAACAGTGCTATCACCTGGCAGTTGCATAATTAATGACGGCGATACATACAATTTCGGCAGAAGAAATGCGAATAGCTGAACGAAATATTTTGCGGGACGGACCGGAAACAAGGAACGGTGAAGCATAAAGTTAGGTAGATACAATAATGTAACCCAACAACAAGTAGGGTTAACTACCTCTTACATTACCTACTCCTTCGTTGGGTTAACATTATAGTAACTAACATAGTCAGGGTAACTGGTGGGTACCAATGCAGGGTACGCCAGCGAAATAATGCGTATAGTACCCCGGGAAGGTACTTTCCGATATATCGAGCCAGGGTACCCTCCAATAGTACCCTGGGGGACAAATACCCGGGACATCGAACGCTTCGCCTAAATTGTACGAATCTTAAATGCGTAAAAGGTACGATTACTACTCTGTTTAGGCTAAATAATAATGTAACCAGGAAATTAGAGAGCTAGATTTATTGGGTGCCGAGTCTAGGCAATAAATCAGTTTTCCGAGAAACTTTGGGGCATTTCTATATATATAATCTATATTATTCGCACGTCTGATAATATTATCATTACATTATTAGATGAAGATTTACTTAGGGCTGAGCGTAACCGCCACAGGCACATTGGAGCGTTTCAATAAAATTGCTAAATAAATACGAAATCTATTTACTACCAAAGTTTGCGGCAGCCAGCGTGTGTTGCAGATGAAGCATTTGGAGCGGCATTTACAGGAAATTGTCGGCCAATATAGGTGAAAGAGAGTAGTAGAATACATTTAAGACTTTGGTAGTAAATAGATTTCGTATTTATTTAGCATTATATTTTATTGAAACGCTCGAAGTCGAAGTGCCTGTGCCTGTGCCTGTAAACATACGTTTCGTTGGCCTTTGCGGATCTTTAATCGCCCGCACACTTAAAGCTTATTACAGCTTGAGAGTAAAGAAACGTCATTAATACACCTTGACGCTCCGTGTTTATCAAACCCCAAAGCTGTCTTCGGGCAACAGATGTCGGCATAGCCACATAACACTCTATATCTTATAAGCTTAGGCTCCATGATTTCTTAACGTGTTTATGTGCAAGCGCACTGTCGCATGAATGAACGCTCTGCCATGAAGTTTATGAGGGAGGGATGTGAGGGATTTTGTTGTCATTTTTCAATAATCAACAGATGAAATTATGTTTGCTTCTGTAATAGTGTGCTCAATAGATATTTTATAATTTTGCCTATAACAAATTGAATTTAACTGATAACAATGATATGTTATCCTTATACTCCGTGCAATCTATAACCATGTATATTTTGATTGAATAATATTGGTGCTCGTTTATGCCTTTTCAAGGCTCTAGTAGGCGCCACTGCTGGCCAATATATTTTGGAACTGAATGGTCACTTGTCGTGTTGTTACGGAAGAGTAAAGGCAGAGGGATGCTGTGCTCCGTGCGCGTAGTTCTGGATTTTAGTGGGGCAGATCAAGCGTATTTCAAGACAAGATTGTTTGAGGGGCAAGGTTAGACCACGTTCAATCTTAGACAAATATGACAGGTATGCCGCTAAGACGCGCTGCGGCGATAACGCATACGAGGTGTAACTGCAAAGTCTGTTTGTCTAGGGGAGTTATTTCTGTCGGCATGTATCATTGTATGAATTGGACTGAAGCCAGAACAAGGCCTTACCCTGGCCTGGGCATTAACGAGTTTGTAAATAGTGATAACGACGCCCAAGTCTAATTTATCCATATCTTTTTTAAATAGGCTGGCATTGAATAATATACGACTATAAACCGCGCCTTATACTTATAGTTATTATATTAAATATTTTCCCATTATTTTACATAATGCAACTGGCACTGCTACTATTAGTATTTACTAAGTTATGCTACGGCTATATGGCGATGGCACATAAAACGAGTAACCGATATCCGAAAAGAACTGCTGTCTGCTTGCACGCGGCTTTTGGAAGATCTCAGCGAGGATTCAGTGGGTGCAAGATCCCTCTAACCATTCATGCGACAAACCAAATGGTCAGCAGTTGTTAATGAGATTATTTATAAGACTGCCTTCCACAAACGGGCAGTGATCGATGCCACTGCTTGCACATCGGTGCTTGCTAGAGTATGATGGCAGATGCAAGAGGGCATCTCATTTAAAAACTTGCAAAACTGGATACCATGGGTGAAGGTTCTGAACGAACTTCTTTGGTTTCTAGAGCATTTAACTGAAGCACGGCAACGGAACATAACGCGTACGGTGGAGGAGCACCGCTGTAGAAAGAGCACGCAATTGCGATGCGCTCGGGCCGACATCATCGTATTTGTATGTCTAACATCAGAGCATCACTGAGTCTTGAGCCGTGAAGCGGTGCTGCTGTACTGGTGCTGGGCAAGAATGCATGAGATATGCAATGAATAGGCGGCCGGGACCTCGATATGCGGTGCGATTATCGAAACCTTGTTAAGCTGTGAGACAGACCCGGGAAAACAGGTTGGTAAACACCTCTACTTTGCCCTCATTGATATTTACATGTATCTGCCATGCCTATATTCGTTAAGAATTTTAAATATATCGGTGAAAACAATGCTTTAAAGCATTTGTCGAATTTTTTTAAATTAAATATATTTGCCGTGTTGTCTATTCTCATCATTTGTATGGCTCCGAAATAATGATTTTAAAGTTGATCATGGGCGTCTTATATTTGTGCTGTAGTTTGGAAAGATTAAAGCTGTACATGTGGCAAGCAGTCATGGTGTTAACTAGTATATATCCCTAGTATATCATATGCGACATGATTAACTGATTATCTTTGGCGCGTCGTTGGAAATTGCGCAAAACGATATGCAGTTATGAACTTTCAACCTATTGTGGGCGTTCAATTGTTTCATTGTCTTAGGCCGCCAGGAACTTTTCTAGCACAAATCTTAGATAATCGAAGATTGTTTTCCGCGGTTGTACCTTAGTACTTGGCTATATATTCACCATAGTAAGATAAAATTAATTACTTATGTCTATTTTCCACCTTTTGGTGCCAAGAAACATTAATAGTGGTGCCAAACGTTTTACTGTGCGAATTTGCAGTTTACTTGTTTTAGTATTTTTGTTTTCTTGTTGCCAAGCGTTGTGATATGAACCTGGTCCTGCCTCCTATTGGCATAATCGCAAAACCTTGGCAAAAACTGCATTTGCAGGTTTTTATTTTGTTCGAGAGCAAAATTTAATGTGAACAGACTTAATAAAAAGACATATATGATAAAATGTTTTTAATATGAAAGTTCACGCTCGGTGAAGTAGTGCCGTCAGTAATTTACATCCATTTTGCACACAAGTCAACATGCTTGTAAAAACCGGCCACAGGGTTATTCGTGGCTAAGTTTTAACTCAGGCGGGAACGTGGGGACACGTAACAATACGCGAGGACACGTTAACATACGCGAGACACGTTACCTACGCGAGGACACGTTACATACGTGAGGACACGTAAGCATACGCGAGGACACGTTAATACATACGTGAGACACGTAAGCAGCTGCGGATAGGCGTGTGGGCCTCATGTCAGGGCGGGCAACGGCGTGTGTGTTATCATGTAGGTCCCGGTAGAGTCCAGAGGGACTCCTAATTAAAGGGAACTCTAAGTTCAGAGCTTCAAGGGCTACCGCCTGCCAGCCTACCGCCTGTGCACCACTACCGCGCGTTCAGCGTTGTTTGTCGTCGCATTTATCTGCTTCTGTTTTGTACCAACAACGTCGGACTGGTTAGCCGTTAGCTAGGCAATTATTATATTGTATTAATATTGTCAATATTATTGTATATATGTAATATTATTGTATGTATTGTATATCGTATTGTATTGTATATGTAATTGTATGTATTGTATTGTATTGTAGTTGATTGTATTGGTATTGTATATTTTATTGTAATACTTATGATATTGTACAATTATTAGCAAGTATTATTCGCTATGCGGTCGAACTTGCTACGCAGGTTATATAAATTCTTGTACAGCGCGGCTATATTTTTCATAATCGACTGCAACTAATGCAATTTTAGTTCATTAAAAGCGTAACGCTAATATAGCGCACTGGTAGTACCTGCACTGCGCGTGTGTGGGCGTACATGCGTGGGTCGCGAGGCTGCGTGTGTCTCTGTTTGTGTTTTGTATTTGCGTTGTGTGTGTGCACGCGTGTGTTTCCCCCTAGTGCCATACTAGTGTGATTCTCGTGTTTTGAGGGTCGTGCAGGTGCCGCGTGTGACCTGAGACCGGGGTTCGAGGCCCACCTAGAAAGCCTAAATTTATATTATTTGGAGCTATCTCTGGATGCATATATGGAGGCTGCATTTTTGAATGGAATTGTTTCAAATAATATAATGAGAGCATTCATAAGAATTATTGCTCCGAATTAGAACGAATCGATGGAGAATTCGCGGTCAAGAAACTGCCGTGCATCAACCAGCAAGGTCGATTCGAACTTTCGAAGGTCTGTACTTCAAGGCGCGCCGACTACCTGCATAAAATAAATGTAGGAAATCTATAACTGGCGTGTTTTTGCGAAGAATGTTCTAAAAATGGCAGAATCTGTAAAAGACGTAGAGAGAGAGAGTAGTCTACCTCACCGGTACGTAGCCCCCCGCGCGCACACACACACACACGCACGCACGCCACGCACGCACGGCACGCCACGCAGCACACGCACAGCCGCACACTGCGGCACAACGCAACCACAACACAAACACGGACACACACACACGCACACCACGCACCACGCACAACGCAGCGCACACACACACACAGCTGACACACACACACACACCACAGCACACACGAGGCACACACACACACACACACATACACACACAAGCACACACACACGCAACACGCACACGCGCACGCCACACACGCACACGCACACGCACACGACACACACACACACAGACCAACCACACCCACACCAACACGCACAGACGCACACCCCGCGCCGCCTTCGCCAGCACACACCGGGTAACGTTGGATATAGCGGAGTGGGCAAGTCCGTTTTCTCATCACCGAATCGACAGCCATGACTAACTAGACCAAGTATTGACTAGCGTTGTTTCGGGGAAACACGTGAGAGGCGATCTCGCGAAAGGGCAACCTTATAATGAAGAGGCCAAGCTTTATAATGAAGCTCTTATCCCGCTGGAGCTCCTTGCATTTGGAAATCCTACTAAGGGCTGTAACGATGACAACACACCTCCCGATTCGATTTCTTGTTCGATTGTGATCGCGCAAAAAATGAATGTTATTAATTTTGTATATTTAATCTAATTTTAAACCGAACTATTCATCCATGCTTTTTTAGCTCATCGACGAAGTCAGATGCAGTTGTAGAATCGCATGCATGTCCATGCGTCCGTCCGTGCGCTGTGCCGTGCAACAGTTTGGGCAACAAATCTAAACCACGCTTCGACCGTAGCGGTCACAGATATTCGAGGAGATTCAAGAGACGCTCTGGCGGCTCTTGTTTTTTATTTATAATAACAAAATCGCTGATGTAATGTAAAATAATAAGCAGTAATAGGTCAAGATGATAGAAATTATGAGAAATCTGGGGCGATCCGATTCGATTTCGGTGGATGCGTATACAGCACCCCCCCGCTACTCGTACGGCCTGACGTGAGTCGCGGCTACTTTGCAACGTTAATGCAGCGGTTTCGAGTGACCGCGTGTTTGTTAGAGACAAGTCTAAACGTAGTTAACACAGTAAATATAGCGAAATAGTGTCGATATCCTGAAACTGGCAGGTGAAATTTCAACCTTTTGAAATCTGGTTTTCAAGATTTTCTCTT